AAATAATTATTTACAATTATAACAGTCATACTCTTATGCCACACTTCAATTCAATTCAAGTTTATTCTCTATAAGGGTTACAATGTGGGGTTTACAGGTTTTGGGTATTGTGTGGTTTACATGTTATAAAATACTAATTACAGAGGGGGCCACTAGGACACCTAGCATGGCTAGGCATTTCGGGCAGACTTAGATTAATTCTTAACATTAAATCCTTACAGATTATGGTATTAAGGCTAAGTGACTACATCATAATTTGTGAGTTTAGCAATGTGAATGCTTTTGTTTTGGCACAATACAAAGTGTCTATATTGGAGTATCATAGGCAAACTTATGATTAGTTAGGATTTATTATTTTAAGATTAAAATTAGTATTTCTGGTTTATAGTCAGTGGGTGAGTGAGTGTAATTGTGAACCACCAGGTGGTTATCATGTAGTTAGTTGTCGGGTGTATCAGGAAGATAAGATGTTTTCTAACTGTAATTTTGAAAGTGATGAATGTGTCTGCAGTTCTAGAGTTTTCAGGTAGGGTGTTCTAGATTTTAGGTCCTTTGAAATACATTGAATTTTTGTAAAGGTTTAGTTAAATACGGGGAATGTCATAGAGATGTTTGTGTCTGGTGTTATTCCTGTGGATCCTGTCACAACTATCAAGAAAGCATTTTAGGTCAAGGTTAATATTGGAATTTAAGGTCCTGTAGATATAGATTGCACAGTAGTAAGTGTGGATGTTCTGAACAGGGAGTAAGTTTAGATCTATGAAGATTGGGGGGGTGGGGGTTGCCAGGGATGGGATGTAGTGATTATTCTTACTGCAGCTTTTTGTTGGGTTATTATTGGCTTTAGGTGTGTTGCTGCAGTTGAACCCCAAGCACAGATAGTATAGGTGAGGTACGGATATATAAGTGAATGGTATAGTGTGAGAAGGGCAGTTTGCGGCACGTAGTATCGTATCTTGGAGAGGATCCCCACCGTTTTGGATACTTTTTTTGTTATGTGTTGGATATGGGTGCTGAAATTTAGGTTGGCGAGGTATAGGCCAAGGAATTTGCCCTCATTATGTCTGGCAGTTAGAGTGCTGTCGATCTTAATGTTAAGTTGCGCAACACCTGCTCTGCTACCAAACGTAATATAGTAGGCTTTGCCAGTGTTAAGTGTAAGTTTATTGGCTGTTATCCAAGTCGATATTTTGAGCAGCTCCTCGTTAACAGTGGTGTTGAGGGTGGCAAGATTAGGGTGGGAGATGACATAAGTCATGTCAGCAAAGAGAATGGGTTTCAGGTGTTGGGATATGTTTGGAAGATCATTGGTGTAAATGAGGAAGAGCAGGGGTCCAAGGACACTTCCCTGCGGAACTCCACTATCAAGTGGCCGTATTGATGAGGCTGTGTCTTTAATGGTGATATACTGATACCTATTAGAAAGGTAGGATTTAAAATATGCAAACGCATGGCCTCTTATACCATAGTGGTCAAGTTTGTGGAGTAGGATGCCGTGGTTTACTGTGTTAAACGCTTTTCTTAGGTCAATAGAAATTCCTAGCGGATATTCCTTATTTTCCAATGCTGTGTAAAGCAGGTCTAGCATTTTTATAATTGCATCATTAGTGCTTTTATTTTTCCTGAATCCAAATTGGCAGGGGTTGAGTATGTTTTGTGACATTATAAATGAATATAGTCTCCTGTGCACGAGTTTCTTGAAGATTTTTGAGAGCAATGGTAAGTTTGATATTAGCCTATAGTTGTTTACGTCTCTAGGGTCACCACCATTATGTATTAGTGTAACCCTTGCTGTCTTGAGTAGTGTCGGGAAAGTGCTAGTTTCTAGTGACTTGTTAAAAAGTAATGTAATAGCATGCGAAAGGACGTGGGCCGTTCGCTTGTACAATAATGGTGGGACGTGAGACAGATTCCCCGAGTTATTTTTAAGTGACTTTATGATCATGGTGACTTCCGTGAGATGCAGTGGTGTTTCATGCGGGTTTAGTTAGAACAATATTCTTGGTTTTTTTCAGTTTGTGGGTCCCCAGAATCTGGGAAAGTGTTTTCCAGGTCTTTTTTACATCTCCTCTAGTGTCAGTGAATCTGCTGGAGTAGTACAGTTGTTTGGCTTTCTTTATTAATTTGGCGAGTTCTGTTGAATATTGTTTAAGACTATCTTTGTGTATTAAGCCCTGTCTATATTGCTTTTCATATTGGTGTTTCTTATCAATGGATTTCAGAATGCTGCTGGTTAGCCATGGGCAACCAAGCCGGTTATTCGTGATCTGTTTAGTTTTTATAAGACAATGTTTGTTGTATAGTCTAAGTATTTTGTTAAGAAAAATGTCTGTCCAATCGTCAGTACTATTGGCATTGGAGAATTCTGTAGGCCAATCAACAGTCTCTAGGTCTGCTGTGAAATTCCTTATTGAGGCCTCGTCATGGAGTCTAAATAAAACTTTGTTGTATTTGAGTGGTGGCTTACCAATGTTTGTTAAGAGGAAGGTAGGGTAGTGGTCAGTAGTGTTGTCTGTGATTATCCCTGATTTAACCCTTTGACTGTCGCAACCCCCTATCCTGAGGTGTCTCCTGGTGTCGCAAAATTTAAAAAAAAAAAAATTATTTTTTCTTATGAAATGATAGAGAATCTTTTCCCGATTGTAATGACACCAAAAAAAACGAAATTTGATGGAAAAATGACGGAATTATGCTCTCGCGAAGTTAGCGACCTCGGCGCTGTTTATAAATCGGCGATTTCGCCCACTTTGAGCCTTATTTTCGGCTAATTCCCTTGTTCCAGTCGCCCAATCTCATAGCTATTTCTTTACAACTCCATTTTTTCTATCGATTGAGTACAAGAAACTGCCCATTTACCGATTTCAACTACCTAATAATGTGGTCAGAAATTTGCAATTTGGACAATTTCACGAAAACTAAAAAATATGACAATTTCAAAATAAGGTCCAGAATGAACAATGCAGACATTCCTGGCTCTAAAATAACATTTTCTTTGTTCATCAGTCACATCTCCAGGCCCCTCTGATATTACTCTTGCTTTCTATTTTGAATTTTTATTCAAACAAAAAATAGAAGACTTACTATTATGCAGACTACTGCAATACTGTAATAATTGTATAAATAACATCAACCCATTCATGACTGCATATTAGAATGGCTAGTTGGACATTTATTGGACAATGGCATCATTTGTTTACTTTTGAACATTGGCAAAAATCAAACATTTCCCCTACTTTGAGCTCCATTTCTAGGTTCTTTTTATAGTAAAATCAATTAAAATCACCTCTATTTCTATAATATGTTTTCCATTCTATCAAATGAGACCAAGAAAACGAGAATACAACCATAAATACTATACGAAAATAGACCCCAAATTCGGCATTTTAATTAAAAAAACGGTCAGTTTTTTTTTTCTCATTATGCACTGCATGCTCCAGGATTTTTTTTATATGGTGCACACTGACCACACAGACCCATTCTCTCACATGTGGGCCTACCAGCTTTCTCCTGCTTGATTTGAAGCCGCTAGAATTTATGAGTACATATACGTCAAACATGGTACCTCGTAAGACGTATATATACGGCTGCGACAGTCAAAGGGTTAAGGGGGGCTAGTGTATTGGTCCATATGTGGTCTATTATGGTTGCACTTGTCTCAGTCAGCCTGGTTGGTTTAGTTATTGTTCTCCACTATATGTACATTACAATGTCATGCAGAACCCTGCATAACAGTAATGTATCTTTGGGAGTATGCCAACTGTTTTTAATAGTTTTTTTTGTTATGTGTTGGATATGGGTGTTGAATTTCATGTTATTGTAAAGATGTAGACCCAGTAATTTTCCCCTCATTATGTTTAGCAATAAGGATGTTGTTAAACATAATGTTTAGTTGGACCTCACTGTCTCTACTCCCAAACATAATGTAGAAGGTTTTGTCTATATTAATTGTAAGTTTATTGATAGTCATCCAGGTTGCTATTTTTTGCAGTCATCCAGGTTACTATTTTTGCAGTCATCATTGTTGACAGTCATCCTGGGTACTAGTTAACAATAGTGTTAACCCTTTCAGCATCCAAGAAATTTTGAAAAAAAAAAAAAATGATTTTTTCTTACAGAATTAAAGATATTTTTATAAATGTAATAAAACAAAAACAAAAAATTTCTGATGAGTACTTATGGAGATACAGCAGTGGGAAGTTGACCCGAAATGACCGGGTGGTAGCAACATCAGCGACTTCTGCAAAATCGCATTTTTTATTTTATGCTTTTTATACTATTTTCTTTTCTTTTCTAATTTTTTTCTTTTTCTACTTCTTCAGGAGGAAAATAGGAGGCAAATATAAGCAATATAAAATTATATGAAAAGGTAATATACATTATATATACTGTGACCCATTCAGGGGTTGCAACATTTATATGTCACAGTTCATCTAATATGACATAACAAACAATATGAATAACATAGAAAAATGATATATACTCTAGAATGAATAAAATATGTATTCATGTAGTGGTATGGGCGGTGTCGGCGGTTGACGAGAGTTTGTCTGGAGACTGGCCAAAATACTTTATGAATAATTTCGGTAATATCATCTATACAGCTTACTTATATATCACAGTTCATCTAATATTACACAACTCAATGAAAACCAAGCTGATAAACGAAAACTAGGACAAAATTTTGACAAAAAAAGTCATATAAAACCGATTTCGATGAAAACCAGGGCAGACAGAAAGCGAAGCTCCACTGTCATAAAAGATAGTCAATATATATATAGAATATGAGCAGCTCTCAGCTATCTTGTATGACTTAGTATGAAGTAACAACAACAGTTTTACAAGACACCCAGAACTCACCACGTGGAGGTGGCTGCATACCAGAGTTCCGTTTTTTTTTTTTTTTTTTTTTTTTTTTTTAACCCCCTTTCCCCTTTTTTCACAGTTTCAGTCCCCACTTGAATCCTGTAGCTCAATGCTTTTTCTTGTTCTTCAGGACAGCATTTTTTGTTTTTTTCTTTTTCTCATTATTTACAGTGGAATTATCTTTATTTTGATTCTTTTTGGTCTTATTTTTCTTGTTCTTTTTAGGTTGTTCAACAGGAACGTCCTTGGTAGTCAAGTTAGTGGGGACTTGGTTTGGCTTGTAATCTGGCTTAAATTCAAGCCATTTAGGGTCAGGGATCTCCTGGTAGATGATCTGTCTTTCTTGTTCTTGTTTAGTGGTGGATTGAGAAAGATTATTTTTCTTTGGAAATCTGAGCCTCTGTGGTGGACGCCGAAGTCGTGGGAATCTCCCGGCGGCCACAACACATCCGCTCTCCTCCTCTCTCAAACCGTTCTCTTCAAATTTCATTTTTGCTTTATACTATAGTGATTTTGTTGAAGATCACTACATAGACAACCAGTGAACATATCATAAATTGTATTTCATCACTGACCTCATCACTGTAATATCAACAAAATAAAAATATAGTTACCCTCGAATTATGAGCAGTAAGGGTAGCGTTGATAGTTCTGGTGATAGTCATAAGTTTGCTTTTTTTTTTTTTTTTTACCCTTTTTCCCTTTTTTCACATTCCTTGAGTCCACCATTACTTGAGACTACAATTCGTTTAGACCACTAATCATTGAGTCCACCATTCCTTGATGCTAGGATGCCACGTACACCATCCCACTAACAACTAGAATGCTACCCACATTATTCCATTAACAACCAGGATATGAGCCACACCACTTAAACCCAGGATACCACACACACCAGTCCATTAACCCCCAGGATGCCACACATACCAGTTCACTAACACACAGGATGCCTCCCACAACAGTCCACTAGCACCGAGGATTCCACCCACACCAGTCCACTAACTCCTAGGATGTGACCCTACACCAGTGCACAAACACCCAGGATGTGACCCAAGCCTGTCCACTAACCCCCTGGATGACACCCAGACCAGTCCACTAACATCCAGGATATGACCCACACCAGTACACCAATATCCAGGATGCCACCCACACTAGTCTTCTAACATGTAGGATGTGAGCCACACCAGTCCAATAGCACCCAGGATGCCACCCACACCAGTCTTCTAATTCCCAGGGTGCCACCTATACCATTCCACTAACACCTAGGATTCCACCCACTCAAGTCCACTAACACCCAGAATCCCTCCCACACCAGTCCACTAACACCCTGGATGGGACCCACACCAATCCACTGATAACCAGGATGTGACCCACACCATTCCACTAGCATGCAGGTTGTGACCCACACCAATCTACTAACAAGCAGAATGTGACCCTCACCAGTCTACTAACACCCAGGAAGTGACCCACACCAGTCCACTGACACCCAGGATGTGACCCAAACCAGTTCACTAACACCTAGGGTATGACCCACACCATTCCACTAACACCCAGGAACTGACCCAAACCAGTTTACTAACACCCAGGATGTGACCCACACCATCCTGCATCAGATGTGACCCACACCATTCCACTAGCATGCAGGATGTGACCCACACCAGTCCAATAACAACCAGAATGTGACCCTTACCAGTCTACTAACACCCAGGAAGTGACTCACACCATTCCACTAGCAATGAGAATGTGTTGCACATCACTCCAATAACACTGAGGATACCATCAACACCAATCCACTAACACCCATGATGACACCCACACCAGTCTACTAACACCCAGGATGCCATGCACACCAGCCCACTAACACCCAGGATATGACCCACACCAATCCACTAACACCCAGGCTTTAACCCACACCAGTCCACTAACACCCAGGATGTGACCCTTACCTCTCCACTAATTCCCAGGATGCGATCTCCAACAATCCACTAACACCCAGGATGCCACCCACACCTAAATAAAACTTTGTTGTATTTGAGTGGTGGCTTACCAATGTTTGTTAAGAGGAAGGTAGGGTAGTGGTCAGTAGTGTTGTCTGTGATTATCCCTGATTTAACCCTTTGACTGTTGCAACCCCCTATCCTGAGGTGTCTCCTGGTGTCGCAAAATTTAAAAAAAAAAAATTATTTTTTCTTATGAAATGATAGAGAATCTTTTCCCGATTGTAATGACACCAAAAAAACGAAATTTGATGGAAAAATGACGGAATTATGCTCTCGCGAAGTTAGCGACCTCGGCGCTGTTTACAAATCGGCGATTTCGCCCACTTTGAGCCTTATTTTCGGCTAATTCCCTTGTTCCAGTCGCCCAATCTCATAGCTATTTCTTTAGAACTCCATTTTTTCTATCGATTGAGTACAAGAAACTGCCCATTTACCGATTTCAACTACCTAATAATGTGGTCAAAATTTGCAATTTGGCCAGTTTCAACGAAAACTAAAAAAATATGACAATTTCAAAATAAGGTCCAGAATGAACAATGCAGACATTCCTGGCTCTAAAATAACATTTTCTTTGTTCATCAGTCACGTCTCCAGGCCCCTCTGATATTACTCTTGCTTTCTATTTTGAATTTTTATTCAAACAAAAAATAGAAGACTTACTATTATGCAGACTACTGCAATACTGTAATAATTGTATAAATAACATCAACCCATTCATGACTGCATATTAGAATGGCTAGTTGGACATTTATTGGACAATAGCATCATTTGTTTACTTTTGAACATTGGCAAAAATCAAACATTTCCCCTACTTTGAGCTCCATTTCTAGGTTCTTTTTATAGTAAAATCAATTAAAGTGACCTCTATTTCTATAAAATGTTTTCCATTCTATCAAATGAGACCAAGAAAACGAGAATACAACCATAAATACTATACGAAAATAGACCCCAAATTCGGCATTTTAATTAAAAAAACGGTCAGAGTTTTTTTTTCTCATTATGCACTGCGTGCTCCAGGATTTTTTTTATATGGTGCACACTGACCACACAGACCCATTCTCTCACATGTGGGCCTACCAGCTTTCTCCTGCTTGATTTGAAGCCGCTAGAATTTATGAGTACATATACGTCAAACATGGTACCTCGTAAGACGTATATATACGGCTGCGACAGTCAAAGGTTTAAGGGGGGCTAGTGTATTGGTCCATATGTGGTCTATTATGGTTGCACTTGTCTCAGTCAGACTGGTTGGTTTAGTTATTGTTCTCCACTATATGTACATTACAATGTCATGCAGAACCCTGCATAACAGTAATGTATCTTTGGGAGTATGCCAACTGTTTTTAATAGTTTTTTTTGTTATGTGTTGGATATGGGTGTTGAATTTCATGTTATTGTAAAGATGTAGACCCAGTAATTTTCCCCTCATTATGTTTAGCAATAAGGATGTTGTTAAACATAATGTTTAGTTGGACCTCACTGTCTCTACTCCCAAACATAATGTAGAAGGTTTTGTCTATATTAATTGTAAGTTTATTGATAGTCATCCAGGTTGCTATTTTTTGCAGTCATCCAGGTTACTATTTTTGCAGTCATCATTGTTGACAGTCATCCTGGGTACTAGTTAACAATAGTGTTAACCCTTTCAGCATCCAAGAAATTTTGAAAAAAAAAAAATGATTTTTTCTTACAGAATTAAAGATATTTTTATAAATGTAATAAAACAAAAACAAAAAATTTCTGATGAGTACTTATGGAGATACAGCAGTGGGAAGTTGACCCGAAATGACCGGGTGGTAGCAACATCAGCGACTTCTGCAAAATCGCATTTTTTATTTTATGCTTTTTATACTATTTTCTTTTCTTTTCTAATTTTTTTCTTTTTCTACTTCTTCAGGAGGAAAAAAAGGAGGCAAATATAAGCAATATAAAATTATATGAAAGGGTAATATACATTATATATACTGTGACCCATTCAGGGGTTGCAACATTTATATGTCACAGTTCATCTAATATGACATAACAAACAATATGAATAACATAGAAAAATGATATATACTCTCGAATGAATAAAATATGTATTCATGTAGTGGTATGGGCGGTGTCGGCGGTTGACGAGAGTTTGTCTGGAGACTGGCCAAAATACTTTATGAATAATTTCGGTAATATCATCTATACAGCTTACTTATTTATTTATTTACGTATTTATTTATTTACAATTTGAGCACACATACAGAGGTACAAAAAAAATACAGATAAGAGCAGCATGCCAAAGCCACTTATACTATGCATAGCATTACGGGCTGGCTTAAAATTAACTTAAGATTAACTAAGCAATGATGAAATCAGTGATAAAACATTAATGTAAACAGATAACTATAAAGCACAAGTGAGTATTACAAAGACAGGTCATATGGTTGCATGCATTGTTGTACATTCAGTCATATGGAGTATTCTGTTAGGTAGTGTATTTAAAAAATAATAAAGTTAGATTGGGTTTTAGGTTTAACATTTATGTGATATAATTGTGTGAAACATTTAAGATATACAATTTATAAGGTTCAGTTATTCAGTATTTATTTGGTTTTGGGTGAGTAAGTGATCTTTGAGAAGAGACTTGATTTTATAAACAGGTAGTGTTTTCTTTATATTTACAGGTAATGAATTCCAGATTTTAGGGCCTTTTATGTGCATTGAGTTTTTTGCATAGTGTGAGATGGACACGAGGAACATCAAAGAGTGATCTGTGCCTTGTGTTATGGTCATGTGTTCTGTTGAGGTTGGCAAGGAGATGTTTGAGGGGAGGGTTAATATCAGAGTTAAGTGTTCTATGTATGTAATAGGTGCAGTAATAAGTATGGATGTTTTGTATGGTGAGTAGGTTTAGTGTATTGAATATTGGTGAGTGTGCTGTCTGTAGTGAGAATTTGTTATCATTCTAACTGCAGCCTTTTGTTGGGTAATTAGTGGTCTGAGATGGTTAATTGTTGTTGAGCCCCATGCACAAATTCCATAGGTGAGATAGGGGTAAATAAGAGAGTGATATAGGGCCAGGAGGGCTGACTGTGGAGCATAGTACCGTATCTTCGATAGTATGCCTACAGTCTTGGAAATTTTCTTAGAAATTTGTTGTATATGTGTATGAAATTTGAGTCTATTATCAAGGTGAATTCCTAAGAATTTTCCCTCTGTTAGCTTTGTGATAGGTGATCCATTTATCATTATGTTAAGAGGGACATCTGTAGCTCTGTTACCAACTGAATGAAGTAAGTTTTGTCAATGTTTAGTGTAAGTTTGTTAGTCCTCATCCAGGTAGATATTTTCTGTAATTCGGTATTTACAGTATTGCTAGCGTGATTGGGCTCGGGTGAGAGAAGACGTATGTAGTGTCATCTGCAAAAAGTGTGGGTTTTGAGTAATTGCGAAGCATTTGGTAGGTCATTTATGTATAGGAGAAAGAGAAGAGGGCCAAGGACACTTCCCTGTGGGACACCAACTGTAATTGGTTGTGCAGAAGAGTTTGCCCCATTTGCGTACACATATTGGCTTCTGTTGCTGAGGTATAC